CTTAAAAATGCATTATAACTAAGCATGAGCAGCAATAAACTACTTTTCCTTTTGTTCCTAAAATGCTTCCTATTTATAGGTAGATCACAGAACTCCTCCATTCCTGCACTTAGATTGAGATTTTATCAGCGGCCTGATCTCATTTTATTGTACTGTGTTGTGTCATATGGTATTGTATTTTGCATTAGATATAATTTACATTGCAGAGGGCAGAATAAGAAGTGTTAAATAAAAAATAGAATTGCTTCCAGGGCTTCTACTCAAATACATGGAACTCTTAATTTTGCAGTCCCTGGAAAATGTGTTTCAGGTGAATGCTGCAGCTTCTTAACTTTTCTTTGTATATCTCACAACAGAATTTTATTTAGTAAGTGACACCAAACTTACTAGTGGCAGTTTTGATAAACTGCTGCTCATAATTACATTTCCTTCACATGTTGAGTGTTCACGGAGCCAGGAGTGCTCTCTCAGGTGGAGCATATGATGAAAACTCTTACCCAAATAGACAGTGTTTAATATTAGCAGCACAGTTTATAGTCAGGTGACATGAACGTAACATGAAGAAAAGCTTTTAGTGTTATTATATGGTATGGATACACTACACATCTTACTGGGAAGTTCTTTCATCAGGAATGTGTAGCATGTATTTTGTTGTGTCAAAGAACTGGACACCAACAAATTAAAGGGGGAGAGGTTTATTTGGCTCACAGTTTATAGAAGTTTCCGTCCATAGTCAGCTGGCTCCAAAGCAGGGTGGCATGGCAGAGGAGAACCAGTCCATGGCAGGGCAGGCAGGAAGCTGAGAGAGACTATGGGAGGAGGAGGAAGATAAACCCCTCCAGGCCACACCTTCAGTAACTTACCTCCTCCCACAAGGGTTGACCTTCCTATTTATAGGTCAAACATAAATCCAGCTATAAACCCACTTGGGGACTAATTCAGTGACAAGTATCACATGCCCGTGATCCAGTCACCTTCCCAGGTCCCCACCTATGAGCACATGAGTCTTTAGGGGGACATCTATATATGAGCCACAACACCATGTCAAAGACCGCTCAGAATTCTCAAATAGCCCAGCTTTCATCTTTGTGTATTAAGTCTCAGGAAACTACAACTGTGCTGATATATGAAAGGCCTGCCCAGTGGAAAAACTTCAACATGCTTTAAAATATTTGGTAAGAAACAATTTTACATGTGACTGGAAAAGAAACTTGATCCTTCTCGTGTGTCATGACACACAGCTGAGCTTTTATTTCTTTTGTAATGAGATCAGCATCCTTTGTAGATATAATAAAAAATATTCTTCAGAGATTATGCTTTATGTGCAAACCTCCCTTGACAATAGTTTCCCATGTGTCCACTGGCTACTTTAAAGTGAACTAAAGCATATTTGCTCAGAGGAAGAGAATGAGAAAGGAGTGCTCAAGGTTTGGTTTTGGTGTCTGCCCATCCTCCTGCTCGGTCTTAACATTTAACTCACTATGGTCTTGGAATGACCTGGGCCAGGCCATTTTATTCTCTGAAATGAGAATGGAATGATGATGGTGGCCCCTACTATGCCCCATGGTGTGTTTAAAGAATCAAACAAGAACATTTTTCTGGAGGTGTCTTGGAATCCACCAAACTTCACCAATGTCTCGTTCTAGGACTTGGCTGGCTGACTTAGGCCTGGTTACCTCACTTCCTTATTCTTAACTTCTTTTTCTGGAAAACAGTGAGAGTAAAATCCCCTACCAGATAGGGCTTGCATGGGACTTACATGAGATAGCATGTGTGAAACATTTAGGAAATTACCTAATCTATGGCCATAACCCAATAAGTGTTTGCTGTCATTATTCTTTCTATGTGAGCATTTACTGTCCTCATGGGGAAGGCAGTGTAACTGAATCACAACCATTGAGTTTCTTTCAAATGCACACTGCATATACTGGAAAGGTGTTTATGGTTCTTACTAAACACTTAAGGCACATATATTTCAGCAGAGAGGATTGTTCTTTCATTAGAGTGTTACTTGAACAGCTCTTTCATAGCGGAGAGATCGCGCTTTGTTGATACATTATATTGAAACTCACTTCATGTCACCTTATGAAACAAATAGTACAAAACAAAAGCAAAGACAACTAATATGTGCCTTCCTCCTTGGTTGCTTGCCTTTGTTATAATCTCTCCAATTCACTGCTCCTGGCACAATGCAGACAATCTCTTAGGAATGCCAAGGCTAAAACTGCAGCGACGAAGGGAAACAAATCTCTGCTAAAAGTTTTAACCAGATTTTCTCCATTTAAAAATGATGATTTATGGTTACAAGTTCTCAGTTTAATATGCATTAAGAATTCAAATGCTGTTGCGATAATTTTTTAGTAAAAGCTGCTTTTTAGGACTACCTTTGCACATTTTCTTCACCAGCAATAATTCTTCATCTATGGAGTAATTTATTTCTTCTGGTTTTAATATGTTACAGATGAATGGTTGTATGTCTTTCCTGTTAGAGCATTACAAGACAGGCCACTTTTGCATTAGGCCGGTGCTACAACAGATACCTGTGGTGCTCTTCATGGTTCATGTGGTACTAATTTAAATGGGAAGTTGCACATATTTCATTGAAACACTTGGTGAAGCCGGCTTTCACAGAAGGGTGCAAATGATGGACTGTTCTCCGCGTGCAGCTGAACTGCTCTAAATGTGTCAGAGAGGGTTATGGATCATTTCATTCACCCATCAACTCTGGTCCGCTGTGTGTACAAATCACAGCGCAGTGTCATCCAACAGAACATTCCTGACAATACTAGAACATTTATAGTACTGCCATTTTTAATAGGAGTTCTGCAACCCAGTTTAAATAGTATGACTTCTTAACACTTTCATTCCTGTTTCTGTGACCTTCTGATCAAGCTGTTTCAGGACTGATCACAGGGTGGACTGAGGTTTCTGATGCCTGTTTGGTGACGAGGTGATAGTTCTGGGGTGATATCATCCCACCTGCTTCACCCTATTGGGTACTAGGGACACATCTTTCTTCCTTCAAAATGAAGCTACCAAGCCTTCCTATTTTTCCTTAGGCATCATCACTCATAACATTTCAAACAGTTTTAGTTCCCAACAAATATAAGTTGGCTAGAAATGTTTTTTGCTTACTAAATTGCATGTCTTACTTTTGCTCATTCTTCTTAGTGATGCAAAGTAAAAAATTTGGTTATGACAATTTTTTTCCTAATTCTGATATTCCTGCCTTTTCCCCACTTTGTGAAGATGTGAGAGTTTAGGAACCACAGAATATAACTGCACGGGAGTTTTTCTCAGCAGAGACAGGCATCTGAACTGCTGGGCAAAACCCAAATCAGAATGAGATTATGAAGATTCCACGTAAGTCCTTCCACATAGTGATATAAGCTTTATGATTATCTCAGCTGGTGTCCCCGTAACGATAGTAGTTAGGTTATATGTAAATAGGTGAAGAAAAGTGATTTATGAGTTAAAGCTTATCTCCAATGCCCAAACTCTAAGATAATTTGAAAGCAAAGTGAAATTATAAATACAGGGAATACTAACACAGCAATGTAAAGCAAGCTTAGGTTTCCTTGGTGTTCCACACAAAACCTTAATCTAGACCTTGTAACAATGCTATTTTATGAAAATTGAGTCACATATAAAAATGCAAACTTTGAAGGATTCCATGTTCTATATCTCAGCACAGGATATTTTAAATTCAAGTAGAAAATAAGCTGTATTTTTTACATAAATAGTCACGATCTTTTACTGGCCATTGTGCTTATTTGCTGGAATAAATAGGAGGATTGTGATTTTAAGAGGGACTACGTTTCTGTAACGTCATTCCAGCCTGAAGTCTCAGGAGCTGTTCTAGCTGAGCAAGACCGGAAAGACGCAGTTGCATGGAAAGTGACGTCAGTAAGGGGATCCGATTATGAGGAAAGGAGCAGACCCTGAGACAAAGCAACAGAACAGTTCCAGCTGGCAACGAAAATGCCTGGGTGACAAACCTTCCTCTGTGGAGAACATCTTCTTATGTAACTCATATAAACCGAAAAGTAACTATCGTTCCCTTCACAATTTGTGTACAGAGAAATGATAGGACAACTTGATATGGCTTGGAAGTTGGAAAATACTCTAAAGACCTAACAAAAACACACATTCTTTTGAATAAATGAAAACTCCACAGTGCAATGACTCCAAAGTCTACGGCACGTCTGGGCTCAGGGCTCTGGTGCTGGGTGTTTGAGCCAGCACGGCTCGGAGTGGAGGGAATTCCATGCACAGAGCTGCCTTGAGGACACACTGAGAGGTGAAGGTGGGCTGAGGGGCCAGGGATGGAAATGGAACCCACCTGACCTCTGTTATTCCTCCTTCATCTGAAGGGCTCAGGAAAAGGAAGAGACTCCGTTCTTGGCCCGGATCAGGGAAAAGGTGGACAGGATGGATCTCCAGAAGAGCCAGCCTCCAGCCCCCCTGGAAAGCTGCCTTAGGTACCTCCGATGGGCAGCCTGTGGCCCACCGATCAGCCCAGTGCCAGCAAGGTGGAAAATTTGGAGCAAATAAGTCTGACCTGGGAGAAAAAGAAATCAGAAAGTAACAAGCAATATGGGCACACAGGAAAACAATATACTGTACTTGCTTCTAATAAATAAAGTAACACTACCAAAACAGTACTCCCTTCTGGTTTTTCAACTTTCATATATAACTTTCAAGGTTATTTTTTTCTGCTGTTCCACTTTTAGAATTTCTTTATTATTGTTCTTCTGGATGTGTGTTTGTGATACAAAATATTTACATCCCTTTCGGGGGTGGAACTTAGAATCTGTGCATGCTGAACACCTGTTCTTCAACTGAGCTGCGTCCTCATCCCTCTACCCTTCCTCATGCCCCAAACTGAGGTACAGCGCCCCATTGAAAAGCCACACAGGAACCCAGGATTGTCCTTAGCAGGAGTCCTGAGCCCTATCATGCAGAAAATAATTTGAGGCTATTTTCTCTGTCCTTTCAAGGTGCACTACTAATATCAAGAAATTAAATTATTACACATGATGAGTGCTGCAGATATTTGGACCTAGCTTCCTGAAGGAACCCTGGGGAAGAATGGCAGATGCCCAGGATCGACATTCTGAGTCTTCCTCCTGGTCAGCCTTGCACTTGGATGGCCTCTTCTGCCAGAGCTTCCATTCATCACCATTGGGATCTGCTATGCATGGAAAAATGCCAAAGCTTTGCCACATCTTCTGAAGATTAATGTTTTCCATAGGCAGATCTCACTCTCCTTGTTCCTAAACGGAGCATGGAGCAGACAGTTCTTGGCACTTGAACAAGTGAATGGATAAAGGGGTAAATTAACATTGGGTGCTGAAAGATTAGTTAATAAAGCAACTCTCAAGTAGAAGGTGTCAGCTTCTTGAAAGGATACTGCTTATCTCTCACTTAGATGGGTTGATTTTTGGTGGTTTGACAGGCTTGCTAATTCAGAAAGGTATTTAAATAGTTCTTTAAAACAGGTAACCCTCAATACTGCCGATTTTCTAATGAACGTGTTAAGGATTTTGATTTCTCTTTTCTTTCTTTCTTTCTTTCTTTCTTTCTTTCTTTCTTTCTTTCTTTCTTTCCTTTATTCTGTTTTTTTTCCCTCCTGTGTCTTGAGTCAGTTAACTTCCTTAAATGGCCAGTTTTCTAAATCTGAGTGTCATTTCAATTCACGTATTGGCCACTTTCCCAACCCTTCTAAACATAAGCGCTCAGCTTTAATAAATTGCATGGCTTCCCATCTGTGATTTAATATCAAACTTCTAGGGAAATCAACATGTGAGGTATGTTCAATGCTGTAAGAAAACATGGCCAGATTCGGGTAAAAAATGGAAAAGAAGGTTGGAGGGAGAACCAGCAGGGAGAAGTCCTCGAGCCTGCTGGGCTGTCCTGTGTGTAGGCCGAGCTGTGGACGGCAGGAAAGGCAGAGAACACTGTCCCATTGAATTGGGCAGGGCATAAATTCAAGCTGTGAATGAGTGAACTGCATTGTCCTCTCTTTGTGAGCATCTCTGAATGCTACCCTGTTGTAAGCATTTAATTTCTTTCTATAATAATTCAGTTACACAGTCTTTGTCCTAGCTTCTTAGCATATGCCCCAAAGGCTTGCTTCATGCGAGCAGATGCCATTAAATATGTTTATTAAGCTTAAAGACAGAAAATACTTCCTAAACCTGCATATCTGTGGCAACACGGTTTCAAAATTGGATGGACTATCCCCTTAAGAAAGCATTGCATTGATTTCTATGTGGTATCAATTCATAGGCTTCTGTACTTTCAAGAATTAATTAAGCAGATAGAAAGTAGTGCCCGTGGCTTAATCCTGTGATAAATCTGTGTGAGCCTTAGATGCTGGGGTGTCTCTCCTTTGAATTTGCATGAATCCACAAAGTAAACTAAGTTCTGAAAGAGATACTTATTGTATAATTATAGTTTAACTATATGCACTAAAATAATTATTTCAATAAACAAGATGTACACTGTAAATGTTATTCCTTAGAAAGAATGTTCAATGAGCAGGTTAGAACTGGTGAAATTCCTAAGCAATGAGAAAATCTCTCACTTGTTTCCCATTGATATGCCACAAAAGAACCAAACTTGGAAACCAGTGTGGGTTTTTTGGGAATATCTGAATGGAACGCTCAGTGGTGAGCTGGGCTCGGGAGTTGGCAGGTTGTTCAGTTTTGTCCAATTATCAATAAGTGAGAGGGATTAGCTGTCGGTAATAGAGCAGTGCATAAAAGGCTCAGGTCATAAGCAGTGTGAATTTAGAAAAGTGAGAGTGTGCTTGGGGGGGAGGCTTTTCTAAATTAGCAATAAAATGAGATGATTAGGTTAACTCTTTAGTTTCTAACGGAGATAAACCCTGGCTACATGAATTATACCCTGAGAGGTATGTCAAGGTTCATCTTAGTTTTATTTTTTTTACTGCCAAATAATCATTTAAGCTTTCATCTAAAAGACAGCAGAAAGCTCTAGACACATTTTAAGAAGGCTTTGGAAATGGCACCAAATGACTTTGGAAAGAGAAAAGAAAAAAAGGCAAACTGAGGAAAATAAAACTCTGAATGGTTAATATAAAGTTTAGATTCAGATTAATGATTTTCTTTGTTTAAATGCCAGTGCTTGTATTCACATGAAAATCTGTCCTTAAAAGTACAGTTAGAAGGCATCAATCCTTAAATGCTGCATATCAGAGATAAATGAAAACTCATTGTACCCAAAAATGTTGATTTATAGCTGGCAGCAGCTGACTACTAGCTTTGCTATCATCCTTTTGGGTATAAGTTTAACAAGAAGAATATGCAAAGGTAAAGAAGACAAGCAAAAAAATGACTGGAAAATGCACTTTAAGACTTCTCTAATTACCTGCAATATTCACATTATATTAACTAAAATTAGACAGAAAATTTTATTCTATTCTTCAGTCATTTAAAATTATTCACAGGACTTGAATGGACTCATTTGTTCCTGGGAGGTGATCCAAAATTAATTTTGAAATTCATGAACAAAAGTCATCTAAAATATTATCCCAAGTCGTATCTAAAGTATTAACCATTGGAAAAGCACAAACCATGTATCCAAGAATATGCAAGAAATCCCAGTTTTGTGAACACCGAGAGAAAGTGCATAGTTAATATTTGCAAAAGCTTAGTAGTAGAAACCCAGCCAATAGAGCATTATGTGAAATCTGACATCATGTATTATGCAATTAACAGATAAAGTCCACCAGGCAGTCCCTCTTTTGTACTGGGTAAAGCATAACAGTAGTTGCAAATCCAATTCACGAGCTGTCTAAATGAGTAATTTGTGGGAGGAGTGAGCAGAAAGATGCTAGTCATGCAATATATTTTCATTTTAAAGTGCCAACTCCTTTGCAAGCTGGGCTCCTGGACATTGCTAGCTCCGCTTCAGTCCATGGATATTGATATTTCTGATTAGGTAAAATCTCTAAATAAAGCCACTGTCACAGAGATGTCCAAAGGCTGTTTTGCTTTTAAAAATAACTGGCTGTCTCCTACCCCATCTTTAGACCATGTCTCTGATAAGTGTGCCTAGCAGGGTGATCACAGGGGTTGTGCTTGGTCATGACATTTGATCCACAAGAGAAAACAATAAAATGTAAGGCAAATGGGGAATACTGTTTTATGGGAAAAGAAATCTCCTAGTGTTAGTTTCTGTATAGCTTTTATTTTGAAATTAATCACACTGGTGCTTGAAGAATAAATACATATTGACATCCTGTTATCAAAACCAGCCTGTCCCACTTCACATCACTCCCTTGGTCACCAGTTCAGTGATTTTTCTGTTACATGAATATTACACCTCATTATTCACTGGACGGCCTCATTTTGGCTACCTAAAATTTAAGTAATATTTTAATTTGAAATGAGGAGAGATTTACAGTGAAATAAATGTGAAATTAAGCCATATGACCTGGTTATACGGTCTGAGATACGGTTGGCATTTGCCAGGCAAGTTGTTTATTAAAACTACCTTAGGAAAGAGAGATTTGCAGTAAAAGTGAGAGGATTCAAAATGTTTGTTTTCGGGAGATGGGGGGGCAAAATGGCCTCTTAGTAATAAGTTCATTCTTTCAGTATGTACATTCTCCAACCAGAAACTGAAAGCCATTTTTGCCAGAAATCATACCAAACTTCACCTTTTCCAAGAGTCCATTCACTAATTGCAGTAAGGAGTATTTCACGGACACACATTCTTTGTGTACATATATCTGGTGAGCAATGATGTGAGCTACTGCATTGCAGGCCATCCCTGGACAGCTGTGACTCTTGTTAGATAAATGGGCCATATCATCCTGTACTGCACATGTCCCCTGCATCACCTCTAAGCTCCATAATTGCGCTGAAAGTAGGCACAATTGTAGGTAATTTTTATGTCAGGAAACTAAGGTTCTGAGCGCTTACGTAACATGCTCACATTCACAACTTGCAAAGCGCTGCTGGATTCTGGGCACAGCCAGTACTCACTTCCCTGATACTGCTGAGCAGTGGGACAAAATCTCTAGAGGGTCAAACTGAGAGGAAAAGCTTCTGGAGAGTAACTAAGGACCTTGTAGTTATTTCTCCAAAGGCAGAAAGCACAAAGCCTTTATGGTCACAGGGCAGCGCAGGAAGACGATGTTTTGATCAAGTTCTGTAGAATGAGGAGGAATCTCCCTGGAGTGAGGAGTAAGGAGCATTTCACGGACACATCAGCCACCACAAGGCTGCTGTATTTCTCTAGGATTTCCATACTCTGTGAGCCAAACATGCCTTATTTAAATCACGCTTTCTGAGAGGTCAGACAACAGCCAGAATTTTATATATACATGTGCTCAAACAATTAAAAACATCACATTTTAAATCAGTGCTGCCCATAGAGCTTGAGTAGGTATGCATGTCATTTTCCCACCATTTCTTTTCCCTGGCCTCGGTCTCCCTTTTAGCTCTCATTTTCCTGTTCTATTTCTGATACACCTTAAATTAATCACGTGTTGTCCTTTCCCCATGACACATGTCTAGATGTCCTTTCATAAATCCAGCAAGATAGGTAAGCTGTGTTGTTTTAATAGAAATCTAGTATTAGGATAATATATATTCAAAATTATTTTAGAGCTGTGTTTTGTTGTTCATAAATTTGTATTATGCAAAATTTTAAGTAGGTCCAAAAATGAACATGAATATAAGAAATTTTGTTTTTTTTTATTTTAAAAATAAAAGGAGGAAAACATTAACAGACAGACAACATTTTACAAAGTAGGAAAAGAACAGTACAGACAATACAGAGTTACAAACAAAGTGGTAGGAAATTAACAATGCTTGTTGTATTACATACTGATATCTTCAAAGTGGTTTCTCATGAAAACAGATAGAGACATGCAATATTGATCAGTCAAGGACTCATTGACAGTTTCTTTCAGCAAAAAAATGGAAGACAGTAGAACAACTATGTTAACTATCCTGTATATACATACATACAAAATTTCTTCTTCTTTCCCTTCTCTTTTCCCCCATCCCAGTTGCCCTTTACCCTTGAGTATTTTCCTATGATTTCACAATGTCTGTCATACCTCCTAGTTTAAATTAACTCTATCAGGTTTCACATTAGTGAAACAATGTGGTGCTTGCACATGCATGTCTGATTTATTTCACTTATGAGTATGGTCTCTAGTTGTGACCATTTACCTATGAAGGTCTCGAGTTTATCTTTCTTTATAGCTGAGTAATATTCCATTATATAAAAGTACCACAATTTTCTTATCCAATCCTTGGTGGATGGACATTTGGGTTGCTTCCACAATTCAGCAATTACAAATTGTGCTGCTATGAACATAGGTAC